CAAAAGAGCTATCCAGACAATATTCATCAGGCCGACGGCAAACATGACGGTCATAACAGCCCAGCAACAACCGAGGCATGCCCAACCCTGAACGAGCCCTTCTCGGTATCCGGACAGGATGGTGGATTTTCCGCTGTCGGCCGAAAATACCCAGCGGGGATACCAGCAGCGTTGCAGGCACGATCTTTTGGCAGGTGTGAACTGATAAACTCCTGCTGCGAAAAGGACGGATGTGGTCAAAGCCAGGCTGGCCGGCGCCATCATGTCGTTCAGTCCACCTGTCATGGAAAGTAGCCATTGGGCCACGGTCGCGATGACAGCGTAACCGAACCATACGGAAAGATATCCAAATGTGGAGCCAAAGACGGGCCAGAATGCCCGTTGATCGGGACCTTCCCGGCTGTCAATCCAGCCGGTATAGGCCTTTAACATGGGAATTGACGTTGGCAGCATCATCGCCATCGACATCATCGCCCACATCAGGAAAACCTTCGCGAGGTCGATCGCGGTCATGGCCTGGGTCGGCATGCCGAAGGTCGCTCCTGCCGGCAGGCAGAGAACTGCAAGTGCAGCCCTTGTCTCGGCGGACAGACCCTTGAACAGATTGAACTGATTGAATATTTCCATGCCGGGGCCAGCCTCGGCCATGTCCATTGCCGGAACCATGTCGGCGATCATTGCAACGAGATAGGCCCAACCGCTGACACTGAGCGTTGCGACAAGCAAAAGCACAAAAGGCCAGGTGCCCGCCCCTGTTGGTCTTTTTCGCTGCTGGTCGTGCGAACCGGTAGTTGTCGTGGCTGTCGTGATACTCATTTTTCAGTTTGCTGCTGGTCTTCCCGGCAATCCACTATATCGGGGATTTTCCAAAAGGGTTTGATCTTGCGCATTCGAGACTGATTTCCTGTTCATGTTATACAAATTCACACCGCCCTGCGTGGTTTCGTCCTGTTGAAAAATACAGTCATTGAGGCACTTTCTATGCAATCAGATCACAGATCGGGACAAACAAATGCCAGACTCCTCACCGCCGGTCACGCATGATGTAGTCGTTGTCGGGGGCGGTCCCTCCGGACGTATCGCCGCGCTGAGGCTCGCACAGCTCGGGCTTTCCACAGTGTTGATTGCGCCTGAATTGCAACGTGTCGACGGACGGACGACTGCTCTTTGGCAAAAATCCATATCGCTTCTTGATGATATCGGCGTGTGGGCGGATCTTGCCGGTAATACCGCTCCACTCAAGAAGATGTGCATGATTGACGATACGAAGCGACTCATCAGGGCTCCTGAAGTTGTCTTCGACGCCAGTGAACTCGATCTGAGTGAGTTTGGATTCAATATTTTAAACAGCGATCTTAACAAGGCACTTGAGGAGAAATGCAATTCTCAAAGTAACCTGGACTGCATAATCGGCAGCGCGGAAACGGTCGAATACTCCGAGACGGTAGTCGACGTTCATGCGTCCTCTGGAAATCAGGCGCGGGCGCGTCTTGCTGTCGCCGCGGACGGCAGAAATTCAATGCTTCGACAAGCCGCTGGAATTGAAGTGAAAACCTGGTCCTACCCTCAGGAGGCTGTGGTTCTCAACGTCGAACACCGGTTGCCGCATCAAAGCACTTCCACGGAGTTTCATACGCGCACCGGACCATTCACACTTGTTCCTCTGCCTGGTCGTCAATCTTCGGTTGTCTGTGTGGAAACCGCGCAGGGAGCGCGTGACCTGATCTCGATGGCTTCGACAGACCTGGAGCTGGAACTGGAAAAACGTGCGCACTCGGTCCTTGGCTCGTTCAAACTGGCATCAGAGATTCAAAGCTTCCCGCTTTCTGGTCTGAATGCGCACAAGCTGACCGGACAAAGGCTGGCTCTTGTCGGTGAAACGGCACATGTCTTTCCACCGATCGGAGCACAGGGCCTGAACTTGTCTCTTCGCGACATCCATGACCTGACGTCGGTTATCCAACGCGGGCTCCTGCGGCACAGCGACCCGGGAGATCCGGCAATCCTGATGTCCTACGAGCAATCACGCATGCGCGACATCAGGCTGCGAACCAACGCGGTTGATGCATTGAACAAGTCCCTCCTCACCTCGTTCCTGCCGGTACAGGTGGCAAGAAGCATCGGCATGTACATGGCCGACCGTGTCGGCCCGTTCAGGCGTCTCCTGATGCGTGAAGGAATGGCACCCAGTGTGGGGTTTCGTATTCCCGGGTAGTTTCCAGCCGGATGTCAAAGCCTGCCGCGCTGACTACCGTTTCTTGACGTGGTAAGTGAGCGCCATTGAGATCATCTGGCAAATTTCATTTTCCGGAAGCGGATCTTCTGCCTTGAAATGAACGCTTCTGTTGCCGCCGAATTCGATGTGCGGATAAAGAGCACGCCAGTCGGACACGAGCGAAGTCTGGCAATTTACATACAAAGCGACATCACCCAGATCGGAAGTGTCCTTGTCTATTCGGATTGTCGTTCCCGATTTCGGTTTGACGGTCAGAAAGCTCGGCTGCCCCCATTTCAGCGTCTCCTGCACTTCACCGACATGTTCATTTTTCAGGGCAGTTTCCAGGATAAGGCGCCGGAGCTGCATCAAGCGGTTTCGAACAGGGTCGGGGTAAGTTTCAATCACATCCAGTGTGGGGGGTTTTTCAGTCATCGCGTTGAAACGCAGCCTTCCTTGCGTTGCCGGTTGGGCGCATCGCTTCAACCGATGGGCAGAACACCGGAGGTAATTGCCCAGATAAACGCCGTCACTGTCACGATTGAAAGCGCAGTGCCCACCAGTACGAAACTTGACGCGCGTTGAACATAAACACCGTACTGCTGCGCAATCACGAAAACATTCGTTGCCGGTGGCAGGCACGACATCAAAACCGCCGTTGCGATCCAGCCCGGATCAAATCCACCAAGCCACGTCAACAGCAAGAAGACGAGTATCGGGTGTAACAGGAGTTTTACCGACAAGACCAGAGGAAGCTCTATCGGTATCCTTCCAACGGGGCGAAGAGCAATACTGACACCCATGGCAAACAGGGCGCAGGGAGCGGCGGCATTGCTGAGGTAAAGCAGAAGCGTGCTTGCCGCTTGCGGCGGGCGGAATTCAAAGGCTGCAGCGGATACACCGGCAATGGTCGCCAGGATGAAGGGATGCGTGAAAATCTTGACGAAGATCTGTTTCAGAGTCTGGGCAAACGTCTCGTTTTCTGTTCCCGCCAAAGCCATGAGCAGCGGCGCAAGAATGAACATAAGTGCGTTGTCGAAGGTCAAAATGAGCGCTGTCGGTACCGTTGCCTCTTCACCCAATACAGCAAGGGTCAATCCCGGCCCCATGTATCCAACGTTCGAATAGGCACCGGCGATGCCCAGTATCGTCGATTCGCCGATACTGCCCCGCGTTGCTACCACGCCAATACAAAAAGAAATCGCGAACACGACGTAGGTCGTGAAAGTCGTTGCCGCGATGAACGACAGGTTGGCCAATTGTTCAAAGGGTGTTGCGGATAACAGCCGAAAAAACAGCGCGGGGAGCGCCAGATAGATGACAAAGAAATTCATCCAGGCAAGCCCGGACTCAGGTATGTTTTTTGCCTTCCCTGCGCCGAAACCAAGAAGTATCAGTCCGAAGAACGGCAAGGCCAGAGTTATGACGTCCAGCATTCAGTGTCCGAGACTTGGTGTTGCGATCGGTAGGTGGAGCGTTCGGGTAAAGATACTTGCATCTGTCGTTGAGCTTGGATAAGGACGCGTCACTTGCTGGACTGTATCAATGTCCCGCATTCCAAGCAGGTCTGAAGCCCTACCGCAAGGGCTCAATTTGACAGATACGTCCTGAAGCCGCCCGACGAAAGAACCGGGTCAGGCAAAATGAAAGCATCCGGCCGGAATGTCGCGAAAAAAAAGACAGAGGAAACATCCCAAACGGTTTGCGTTGCAAAACCATATCGAAAGCATCGCTTTAAAGTCGGCCATATTCCTTTTTCGTCTCATACCGGTCGATCTTGCCTCGTACCTGATGGGCAAAGGCTGGCGGGCGTTTGCACCGTTCAATGCGCGTCACAAACGCGCGCTGAAACATTTGAAAAACGCGTTCCCTTCAATGAAGGAGAGCGAGAGAGAGGAAATTGTCCGAGGAATGTGGGAAAACCTCGGCCGCGTGGCAGTCGAGACATTCCATACCGACAGGCTTCTCAAACAGGATTTCCGATTTGAGGCCGTTGCGGATGAAACGACCGAGAGAGTTCTTGCTGGCGAACAGGCCTGTGTCCTCATGTCGTTTCACAGTGGCAACTGGGAACTTTGCGTTCAACCCGTCACAAGCCACGGGGTGGATGTAACCGGCGTTTACCAGGCTCTGCGCAATCCGGAGGCAGACAAGGCGCTGCGCTCGCTGCGGCAGGACCTCTATCGTGGCGGCTTGCTGTCGAAGGGACCGGAAACGGCGCGAAAGATACTGGGAACGCTGAAGAGCGGTGGTGTCGTTGCAATGATGGGGGACCTGAGGGAAGCCAGAGGCGTACAGGTTCCCTTTTTCGGTCAGATGGCTTACGCGAATACCGTGCCGGCCTCAATCGCACGATCCTGCAATGTACCGATCGTCCTGGGTCGTGTTGTCCGGAAAAATGGCGTGAATTTCCACATTGAAGGGCGCGCGATCACAGTGCCGAAAACAAGCGACCGGCAGGCGGATATCAAGGCGGCCACCGCCGAGATACACCAAATCTTCGAAGGCTGGATCAGCGAACATCCCGAGCAGTGGATGTGGATACACAAAAAATGGGCCCCGCCGGGGAAAAGTCTGGCTCGACGGCAGGCTGACCGGGCAGCCGTCTCCAAGGCGCAGGAGGGTTGAACCCGATCCCTTCTCCTTCACCTATCGGGGGATGGTTGCAGCGCAACATAAGCGTTATAGCTAGCTTACGAACAGGAGGAGGAACACGATTTTCATGAAAACCCCAAGCGCATTCTACAAACCGCTCGCAATTGGTGCTCCCACCCCATATCGAGAGATGCCTATCTCGCTTGAGCGAATGATCCATTTTGTTCCGCCAAATATCGAGAAGATGCGCGCCAAGGTGCCGGACCTTGTGAACAAGGTCGATGTTGTCCTGGGCAATCTCGAAGACGCCATTCCGGCGGACGCCAAGTCCGACGCGCGGAACGGGTTTATCCAGCTTGCAAGGGAAAATGAATTCGGATCAACCGGACTGTGGACGCGGGTAAACTGCCTGAACAGCCCCTGGTTTCTCGATGATGTCATGGAAATCGTCCAGACCGTCGGCGACAAGCTGGATGTCGTGATGTTGCCCAAGGTCGAAGGCGCCTGGGACATTCACTATCTCGATCAGTTGCTTGCTCAACTGGAAGCTAAGGGTGGACTGGGGAAACCGATCCTCATCCATGCCATTCTTGAAACCGCGGAGGGTGTCAAGAATGTCGAGCAAATCGCAGCAGCCAGTCCGCGCATGCATGGAATGAGCCTGGGACCAGCCGACCTTGCGGCATCCAGAGGCATGAAAACAACGCGCGTCGGTGGTGGCCATCCTGATTACGCGGTGCTTTCGGACAGTGACAATAGTGGTGTGCGGACCGCATTCCAGCAGGATCTTTGGCACTACACTGTCGGGAAAATGGTCGATGCGTGCCTGTCATATGGCCTGAAACCCTTTTATGGACCATTCGGGGACTTTTCTGACCCGCAAGCTTGTGAAAGTCAGTTCCGCAATGCCTTTTTGATGGGGTGTCTCGGTGCCTGGTCGCTTCATCCCTCGCAAATCGAAATCGCAAAGAAAGTCTTTTCGCCAGACCCGGCGGAAGTTGCCTTTGCGCGCAAGATCCTGGATGCCATGCCGGATGGCACAGGTGCCGTCATGATCGATGGCAAGATGCAGGATGATGCAACCTGGAAGCAGGCCAAGGTCATCGTCGATCTTGCACAGCTGGTTTCAAGCAAGGACAAGGAGTTGGCCGAGGTTTATGGTTTTTAGAGATTCACAAGGTCTCTTGTATAGAGTTTAATGTTACAACGCTTGCAAGCAGGTTGCCGAAACGGTATCCCGGCATTGCATGCAGTAAGCGGACGAGTAACCATGCGAACGGCGAAGTTTAGAATAGGTCAGGTCGTCCGGCACCGGATTTATCCCTTTCGGGGTGTGATTTTCGATGTCGACCCGACGTTCAGCAACACGGAAGAGTGGTGGAATGCGATCCCTGAGGACGTCCGTCCGGTCAGGGACCAACCCTTTTATCATCTTCTCGCCGAAAACGAGGAGACCGAATATGTTGCATATGTCAGCGAGCAGAACCTGGAACCCGACATGACCGGGGAGCCTGTCCGCCACCCGCAGGTCGAGGAGATTTTCGAGGAACAGACCGACGGATCATATCTTCCGCGCAGTGTCGAGATCCACTGACACGACTGAAAATTCGCGGGTTTGCCCCTCCGAACAAAAAAAGGCCGGAACTTGCGTTCCGGCCTTTCTGTTTGAATTGCTTGAAAGCTACTGGTTTTCCTGCTGAGCATCGATCAGTTTCTGCCGTGCTTCGTCAGCGCGCTTTTGCAGCTCGCTCTGCAGTTCTTCCTGTCTCTTCTGCAGTTCTGCCAGGTCCATGGGCTCTCCGTCATAAACCTTGGTGAAGCCGATAAGGGTCATCTTGAAGACGATTTCCTTGGCTTGCTGGTTATACGGCGCAACCCGCATCTCACCACCCTGCTTCATTGCGTTGATGAACGTGTCGTCAATCGCAAGTTCCGCGTAACATGCGTTCGGGGCGCAGATGCTGTATTTGGCCTGAACCGGCTTGCTGTCATCAATCTGGATGCGAAGTCCGGGCTGGATCAAGACACCTGTCGGTACAGCGACAAGAAGTTTCTTGCGGGCTTCGCCTTCGGTTTCCTGAATGGCAATGTTGCTCAAGAACTGACCGGTATTTGTGCGCAACTCAATCGAAATGAAGCAGATTTCCTTCTGCGTATTCGGATTGGTATTACATGCCTTCGTCCAAGGGCTTTTCTCTTCCTGGGCGATTGCAGGGGCGGCAGCAAAAGAAGACACGGCCACGAATGCAGCTGCTGCGCATCCGAAGAATCCTCTTTTCAAAACACTCGTCATTGAAACGTCCTCAATCGTGCGTATTCGAAATCTTCGCGTTGTTCTGAGGCATTCCGGAAACATCCGCAAGGCCCGTTTGAACATTAGATCTGTGAAATGCATGGTAAGGCACTGAATTTGGGCGAGAGGGTGGCCGAATTGCAACGCAATGCTCAGGTTCGATTCAAATCTGTATATCTTTGTCTTTATGACTTGTTGCTGGCGCCTTCACATTCACCATGTGCTAGTCTGAACCGCGAGAATCAAGGGAATCTCCGGTGGTGGTTATGCGTTGCTTTGAATTGGTCGTGTCTGTTTTCTGCAACAACAGCACTAGACGTAGTGCGTTCGCGGTATTTTGTCTCTTGCTGCCCTGGTTTTCCGGGCCGGCCTTGGCCGACGACGAAACGGTACCATGGTCACACGCGATCTCCATGCATGGTTCACCAGCGCTTGGCCCGGATCAACCCTTTCCCTATGCAAACGAGAATGCACCCAAAGGTGGCACGATCACATTGGGTGTTCAGGGAACTTTTGACAGTCTGAACTCGTTTATTGTCCAGGGAGGCTGGACCTCTGCACGCGGAATGCGCGAGCGCCAGTTCGGCAACAATGTTCTGGAAAGCCTCCTGGTTCGTTCCTACGACGAACCTTTTTCACTCTACGGATTGATCGCGCAGCGGGTCCGCATGCCGGACAGCAGGGAATGGATCGAGTTCGAACTCAATCCGAATGCCAGGTTTTCCGACGGAACTCCGGTAACCGTCGATGATATCGTGTTTTCCCTGGATATTATCCGAGACAAGGGCCGCCCTCCGTATCGGAACTGGTATGCGGCGATTGTCGAAAAGGAAATCACGGCTCCTAACCGGATCAAACTGAAATTCGAGAACGGTGAAAACAGGGAATTGCCCCTGCTTATCTCGCTCGCCCCCATCTTTTCCAAAAAACACACCGATGCGGAAAAATTCGACAAATCTTCGCTTACACCTCCGGTAGGAAGTGGTCCTTATACATTCAAGACAATCCAGCCCGGACGGCTTGTTGTTTATGAAAAGAACCCGGACTACTGGGCAAAGGACCTGCCGGTCAAAGCCGGATTCGACAATTTCGACGAGATCAGGATCGAGTATTTCCGTGATGAAACCACGTTGCAGGAAGCATTCAAGAAAGGCTTGATCAAGGCCTTGCAATTCCGTGACCCTGCCCGGTGGGCAACCGGATTTGATTTTCCGGCGGCAGAAAGTGGTGACGTCGTCAAGATAGAAATCCCGCGCGGCGTTCCCGCTCCCATGCAGGGTATTGCGTTCAACACCCGCAAGGAACAGTTTACCGATGTCAGAGTGCGTAAAGCCTTGCGGATGCTGTTCGACTTCCAGTGGGTAAACCGGAACCTCTACTATGATCTGTTTACCCGAACCGCCGGATATTGGGACAATTCCGAATTGTCTTCGATCGGACGTCCTGCAAGCGATCGGGAAAAAGAACTTCTGGCCCCCTTCCCTGATGCAGTTTCCCCGGAGGTGATGGCAGGAAGCTGGCGTCCGGCCGATGCTGACGGATCGGGACGTGACCGGAAAGTCCTGCGTGCTGCACTGGCTGAACTCAAGAATGCCGGCTACGCGCTGAAGGACCGAAAACTCATACACGAGACAACCGGCAATCAGCTTGCCTTCGAGATTCTCGCCAAGAATGAGGATGAGGAAAAACTGGCGCTTGCCTATATCCGGACGGTTGAACTTCTGGGTATCGCAGTGAACGTGCGTAGCGTCGACCCGTCGCAATTCGAGGATCGCCGGACAAAGCGGAACTTCGATATGGTTTTCAATACCTGGTATGCTTCACTGTCGCCCGGCGCCGAACAATATGGCCGCTGGAGCACGAAGGCCGCGGACGCCGAAGGATCTTTCAATTTTGTGGGCGCGAAGGAACCGGCGATCGATGCCTTGATCGATGCCATCGTCGGGGCTCGCAGCCGTGACGACTTCATCGATGCGGTCAGGGCGTTCGACAGAGTATTGATTTCGGGTACCTATGCTGTCCCGCTCTATCACGTATCAGATGACTGGGTTGCACACTGGAAAGATGTCGTGCCACCGGAACACCATTCCCTTTATGGTCATGAGTTTGACACCTGGTGGTCATCGACCGCGCAATAATCGGACCTATGGACGAAGGACACAATGAAAGCGACTGTTGACAGCCTCACCAAGGAGTATCACGAAAGCGGAGTTTGGTCCGATGTACCGCTGGATGAGCTCTTCAAGACAACCGCAGCACAGCATCCTGATCGGCTGGCCCTTGTCGATGCGCCGGACCGCGCGGCCTGGACCGGCGGCGAACCGCGCCGCTTGACCTATGCCGAAGCTGACCGGGAAATCGACCGGCTTGCCGCATTTTACAACACTGTCGGTCTGTCCGCAGACCATGTGATCGGCGTCCAGGCTCCCAATACTGTGGACACGGTCATAGCAGTTCTTGCGGCGCTGCGTGCGGACCTGATCGTTTCGCCTCTTCCATTGCACTGGCGGCAGAAAAATGTGCTGGAAGCCTTGAATTCCATCGGTGCAAAGGGGTTCATTGCCGCTGACAGGGTCGAAACGAGAGACGTCGGTACCGCCGCCCGGGACGTGGCTGCGGATTTGTTTTCGCTGCGTTTCGTTTTCGGTCTGGGCAAAGATGTTCCGGACGGTTTGATCGAACTGGGACCGATGCTCGCGGAAATGGGAGACGGCCTTAGTTTCGTTACCCGTGAAAGACCTGATCCGGCTGACCATACCGCAACAATATGCTGGAGCCGGAGCGGAGAAGAAAACGTACCTGTCAGCCGATGTCACAACCACTGGATTTCGGCTGCGCAGATGATCGTGAACGAAGCGGAGATTTCGGAAAACAGCACCATTCTGGTGCCTTATTCGCTCAGCGGCCTGACGGGACTCGGGGCCGGACTTGTGCCGTTTCTCATGACAGGCAGCACCTTGCACCTGCACCATCCGACCTCTCTTGCCAATCTTGCAACACATGCCAATGACGTTGAAGCCGACATTGTCATGACGCCCGGGCCCCTCGCACAGACGCTCGATCGGAAGCTGGGCAGTACCAAAACGACCGTTCTTGCGGCGTGGAATATTTCAGCCCCACACCCGACAACGTTTGTTGCAAGACGTCGGCTCGTCGATGTTCACATAGCGGACGAATTCGCACTGGTTGCCAGAGCGAGAGGTCCTTCAGCGAAGATCAAGGCGACCGCCTTGGGAAAGCATAACGGGTCGATCGGGTGTGAAAACAGGCCAGCCCTTCTTGAAATAGCAGTCACCGAAGAGGGCGAGGCACAGACCCCTACCCTGCTCGTGAAAGGACCCATGGTCCCCGAGATCGGGTGGCGCACGATCAACGGCGAACGGCGGCGTGTCCGCTGGGAGGGAACCGGGTATCTCAAGACCAACATCAAGGTTGATCTTGTCGACGACGGCATTGCCGGCTTCGGAATTCCAGGTACCTATGCCCTGGGTACCGGCAATCTTGAAACAATCGATGTGATCTATTCGAGTTATCCCGGGATTCGGGAAGCCGCTGCATTCATTGTCGAAGATCCAGTTCTTGGAGCCAGAATGTACGCAGCATTGGTCCCCGAGACTTCAAATGTCCCCGACGCTGCGTCCTTCTTTGCCTTTCTGGACGCGGATGGAGTGGATCTTGCGAAAATCCCGCATCGTGTCCTGATATTGCAATCGCTGCCACGCAATGCCGACGGAACAATCTGCAGGGAGAAACTGACCATGCGGACACAACGGCTGCCCGCTGCGGTGGCCTAGACGGCAGTTTGGGTGGCGCAACTGGACAGACATCTATTGGTTGATCCAATGCGGACAGTCGGGGCATCATACCTCCGGCGGGAAATGTGCAATTTGCTCCAGGTGGGGACAGGGCATGGATTATGAAACGTCGCTTTCGTGGCGTGGACCTTACTGGTATGCCGGGCGCCGGCCAAAACGCAACAGCAACGGTGACGCGCCCGAAGACCTGGACGTTGCGCTGCTCAATATGTTCGAGCGTGACGGTACTCCGCCTACAGCTCTGCCTGCTGCGATCGTTGTCGATATCAAGAACCTCATTGACGGCGACAATGAGGCCTTCTTTGACTGGCTCCAGCGGCATATCAGGGCTTTGCCCTGCGATGTTCCGTTTTATATTCTGGCCGATGGAGACGACTTTATCCCCGACGGGCTTCAGGTGACCGCGATCATTGATCGGGTCGTCCCGGATGATGTCCTTCTGATGCTCATTTGTATCCACCAGCGCTCACTCATGCGCTCGGAGGAAGCGCAGCTCCGGCGGAAGGTATTTGGTCGCATACCCGATTTCGGGACAGCCCCTCACCACACCGGTTCCAGCAGCCTGATGGTGGTCGGCGTGAGCGGGCGCTTTCTGGAATGGCAGGATGCCAGCGATCAGAAGGTCGAGGTCGTCGGAGCATTTGACGGCAAGATGGCGATGGAATTCATGTCCATGCGTGCTTTTGATGCGGTGGTAATCGACGCGGCATTTGATGATGCAGTTGAATACATCCGCCAAATCAGAAGAGATGCCCGTTTTGCAGGACTACCTGTTCTTGCCGTTTGCGAGGGAGAAGAGGATTCCGCACTTTTGTTCCGTAACGGGGCATCCGACGTGATCGTGGGCGAGAACCGCAAGGAAACTCTGGCGCGACGGATCACTTCGGCGATCCGCTTCGGCAAGCGGCGGCGCCTCGCGGACAGAATTCTTGCTGAAAGCCAGATGTGGCTCCGCCAGCAGATCACGGAAGGCGGGCTAAGCGCCGGCGAATACACAAACTATCTTGAAACATGCAGCAATGCCCTTGCGGTGCGTGGTCTGGATTTGTGGGAAATGCGTCTTCAACCGGAAAGTTTCGGACTTGAAGTGTCTTCTGCGGATGAACTGGACGAAATTCACACAACGCTCCTGTCGATTGCGGATGCAACCAGCCGGGATGAGGACCTTGTCTGCCTGGTGAAGGACCTTGGGCCCGTCGCCGTGCTGAAAAACGAGGCCGGGACCGTGCGTCTGCAAAAGCGCATCAGCTCCATCCTGACCCATACAGTACGCTGAACGGCGGATTGGACTTGGAAACCGGACAGAAAGCTCTAACTTGTTGGTTCAAGACACAACAAACGGCCCATTCATGAACGCAACTCCTCCACTAACTGTCGACGTCGTCTCCGATGTCATGTGCCCCTGGTGTTTCATAGGTAAAAGACGGCTGGAGACTGCACTCCGGTCTGTTCCTCAGTTGAATGTTGATGTGCGCTGGCACCCATTCCAACTTGATGCAACCCTGCCAAAATCAGGCAAGGACCGTCAGCAGTATCTCGACGACAAATTCGGCGGCAAGGAAAATGCTGATGCCGTTTACAGTCGCATAAAGGAAACCGGTGCGGAGGAAGGCATCAATTTCGCCTTCGACAAAATCAAACTGTCGCCGAACACGCTGGACAGTCACCGGCTGATTCTCTGGTCGCGGTCCGACAATGTTCAAAGCGACGTCGTCGAGCGATTGTTCAAGGCATATTTTCTGGATGGTGAAGATTTGACCAAAGCGGCTACGCTTGTCCGGATTTCGGAAGAAGCCGGTATGCAATCCGATCTAGTCGAACAGTTGCTGGAAACAGAGACCGACCTGGACAAAACGGAAGCTCAGATCACAAGGGCGAGCGAGTCTGGAATATCAGGCGTGCCTTGCTTCATTATTGACGGCAGATTCGTGCTGGCCGGTGCGGAAAAACCGGAAACCATAGCGGCGGCGTTGCAGCATGCGGAGGAAACCCGGACAGATCCCGAAGCGGAACAGTCAGGCTGACATAATTCGCGCAACGATACAAAAGACAAAGCCCCGCCAGATCGGCGGGGCTTTTCTTTGAACAAGGATCCGAAGGAAATTCAGCCTTTCAGGATAGACTGACCGGCATAGATTGCCTGAGGACCCAGTTCTTCCTCGATCCGGATAAGCTGGTTGTATTTTGCCAACCTGTCTGAACGTGCCAGGGAACCTGTCTTGATCTGTCCGCAATTGGTTGCAACCGCAAGATCGGAGATGGTCGAATCTTCTGTTTCACCGGAGCGGTGCGACATGACGGCGGTGTAGGCAGCCTTGTGAGCGGTTTCCACCGCGTCCAGAGTTTCCGACAGTGTGCCGATCTGGTTGACCTTGATCAGGATCGAGTTGGCAACGCCCAGATCAATGCCCTTGCGCAGACGTTCGGAGTTGGTCACGAAGAGATCATCGCCGACGAGCTGGCATTTGTTGCCGATCAGGTCGGTGGTTGCTTTCCAGCCGTCCCAGTCGTCCTCGGCAAGACCATCCTCGATGGAGATGATCGGATATCGGGACACAAGGTCGCCAAGGTATTTAGCCATTTCCTCAGGCGCCAGTGACCTGCCTTCACCTTCAAGGACATACTTCCCGTCCTTGAAGAACTCCGTCGATGCGGCATCAAGAGCCAGGTACATGTCTTCGCCCGGTTTGTAACCGGCAGTCTCGATCGCTTTCATGACGAAACCGATTGCCGCGTCTGTCGATTCAAGATTGGGGGCAAATCCACCCTCGTCGCCAACATTGGTATTGTGACCGGCAGAACTCAGGGCTTTTTTCAGGGTGTGAAAAACCTCAGTTCCCATGCGTACGGCTTCGGAAAGCGATTCAGCCCCCACCGGCATGATCATGAATTCCTGGAAGTCGATCGGATTGTCCGCATGGGCGCCACCGTTGATGATGTTCATCATCGGTACCGGAAGTGTCCTGGCTGACGTGCCGCCGACATAGCGATAAAGCGGCAGGCCCGATGCCTGTGCCGCAGCTCTTGCAACGGCCAGCGAAACACCCAGGATGGCGTTGGCGCCGATACGGGCCTTGTTGCTTGTGCCATCCAGATCAATCATTGCCTGATCGATCTGCAGCTGGTCTTCCGCTTCCAGACCCCCGACGGTTTCGAAGATCTCACCGTTCACCGCATCGACAGCCTTCTGGACGCCCTTGCCCATGTAGCGGTCACCGCCATCGCGAAGTTCTACCGCTTCATGCGCACCGGTCGACGCACCGGAGGGAACCGCAGCGCGTCCAAAAGATCCGTCTTCCAGAAAGACATCGACTTCAACGGTCGGGTTGCCACGGCTGTCGAATATTTGACGTCCGACGATATCGATAATAGCGGTCATGGAAAGAACTCCCTTGTCGCATGGACCTTAAGTGATTGCGCACTGGCGGATTTGCCTGCGCACTCCGTGCCGATTGACCGGCGATTAACCTGGGGTGTATGCCCCATTTTGAACGCGCACGCAGCGCGGATGTATTCTAATTTGTGGCGGATGCCGGTTTTACCACGGTGTCGATTGCCTTGAGCTGCCTGAGCAATGCTTCCAGTTCATGCATAGGAACCATGTTCGGGCCATCTGAAGGTGCCTTGTCCGGATCCGGATGCGTTTCAATGAAAAGTCCTGCGATACCGACCGCAACTGCGGCCCTGGAAAGAACGGGAACCATGGTACGGTCGCCACCTGTGGAGGCACCCTGCCCGCCGGGTTGCTGAACCGAATGGGTCGCATCGAATATGACCGGCGCACCGGTCTCTGCCATGATAGGCAAGGCACGCATGTCGCTGACGAGCGTGTTATAGCCGAAACTGGCGCCACGCTCGGTCAGCAGAACGTTCGGGTTTCCGGATTCCGTAACCTTGGCAAGGACGTTTTTCATGTCCCATGGGGCCAGAAACTGACCCTTTTTGACGTTTACAGTCTTGCCCGTTTTTGCTGCAGCAACCAGAAGATCAGTCTGTCTGCAGAGAAATGCCGGAATTTGCAGAATATCGACAACTTCTCCAACCGGAGCGCATTGCTCAGCGTTATGAACGTCGGTGACAACCGGCATGCCGAAGGTTTCCCGGATTTCTGCAAATATTGGCAGCGCCTCACGCAACCCTACGCCGCGCCCACCAGAAAGAGACGTTCTGTTGGCCTTGTCAAAAGACGACTTGTAGACGGTCGCTATGCCGACCTTCTGTGTAATTTCCCTGATCGCTGCTGCGCATTCCAGAGCATGGTTGCGACTCTCAAGTGCGCAAGGCCCGGCGATGAGGCTTATTGGTGCATCATTCTGGAATGTTACGTTCCCGACTATAACTTCGCGGTTCGCCTCGGTCATTGATCACCTTGCTTCATCAGACAGCCATCAGCTGCCATTGCCTGCGCTATTTTGCCCCGCAGCATTTTCGGGTGTTCCATAGCGTTCTTTTGTTCAAGCTGCAACTCTCTGGTTTCTGCTGCTCAGATATCGTTTTAAATCGATTGAATTGCATATTTTTGCCAACCCACCCCCGATTATCACAAGACTTCCATCTTTGCGTGAGACGATCGTTGCGTTACAGGACCGGAAGGCGGCAATTGGAAATTTAACCAGGATGCAAATTTTAGCGCCTATCGTCCTTTGTATACCCGGTCAGAACCCTGAGTTTATTGTTGTGTTTATTTATTCGTGACAGATGGATGTAGAAATCTCTGTAAATTGGAGTTGGAAGGCCTGAAATGAACAAGCCCATTCGCAAAGCCGTTTTGCCTGTTGCCGGTCTTGGCACCAGATTCCTGCCGGCAACCAAGGCGGTCCCCAAGGAAATGCTGACGATCGTGGATCGGCCGATTATCCAGTATGTCGTTGATGAGGCCCGAGCAGCAGGTATTGAACACATCGTCTTTGTAACGGGTCGCAACAAGCACGTAATCGAAGATCACTTCGACATGGCTTATGAGCTGGAAGATACGCTGAGAGCGCGCAACAAGGCGGCTGCGCTTGAACTGCTTGAAAAACACAGACCTCAGCCCGGATCAACCAGCTTTACCCGTCAGCAGGCTCCCCTGGGGCTCGGACACGCAATCTGGTGCTCCCGGGATATTATCGGAGATGAACCATTTGCGATTCTTCTTCCCGATGTGATCATCAAGTCCAAGATTAGTTGTCTTCGGCAAATGGTTGATCTTTATGAGAAAACCGGTGGAAACATCATTGCTGTGGAAGAAGTGCCTGACGATCAGACACATCAGTATGGCATCGTCGAGCTTGCAGAGCAGATCAACGACAAATCGAGCCGCATTTCGAACATGGTGGAAAAGCCGGCACCCGGCACCGCACCTTCCAACCTGATGATCACCGGGCGATACATCCTGCAACCTGAAATTTTCGACCTGCTCTCCAGCCAGGGGCAAGGCGCCGGTGGCGAGATTCAGCTGACCGACAGCATGATTTCGTTGATGTCGAATCAGAGTTTCTCCTCACTCAAATTCGAGGGGCGCAGCTACGATTGCGGCAACAAGCCGGGTTTCCTGAGTGCCAATATCGCCTTTGGAATGGATGATCCTGCCCTGGCCCAGGAGCTTATTCCGTTTATGCAGGAGATGCTTCAACATCCTGTCGCCGCGGAATAGCAGTTGAAAATGGACAAGTGATCACTTTACCGCACTGATATTTGCCGGACCGGGTCTGACCAAGATCCGGTCCAATTGTTTTCATGAAATCAAACGCCTTACGAAATTTTTCGCTGTTCGTACAACGCATAAGCGTAGACAGGGGGCAAGGTGAAGAAAAACTTTCTCATTATCGGTGGCACTTCTGGAATCGGCCTGCAACTTGCCAAAATTTATCTCGACGAAGGACACACCGTCTGCGTGACGGGGCGCAAACGTCCCGATCTGACCAAGGCCAGTTTTCAGAAATTCGAGATAACCAGAGACACGACCAAGCTGGCACAAGATACTGATCGGGTTCTCTCCCGACTTGGGACCGCCCATACGCTCATTTATGCTGCGGGATTTCTTCAAAGGGGACGTATCGACGCGCTTGGCGACGAAGATCTCGAAAGTATGGTCAACGTTGGCGTTTTGGCACCCATGATGTTGATCCAGCGTCTCAAAAGGCGATCGCAGTGGCCGCTGAAGATAATGCTCATCACCTCAAGCTCGCAATATACGCCGAGGGAACTTGAACCGGCCTATTGCGCAACCAAATCAGCTTTGGGAATGCTTGGTGCGTCACTGGTCAGGGACAAAGCGCTCGGAAAGGTTCTGGTTGCCGCTCCTTCCGGGGTCAGAACACCGTTCTGGGAGGGAACCGACGAAGATACGGACACCATGCTCGAACCTGCCTGGGTTGCGGAACGAATTGTCGAGCTTTCAGGTGGTGCCTTCAAGTACAAGTACGCCAAGATATTGCGCGATCCGGCCAGGGTGGAGATCGTTGAATGCCTGAACAATGATATGGAACCGATACAGGCACTCCCTCAGCATCCCTGACAGCGCTCCGGATCCAGCAATTCCAACGAACGACAATCCCAATTGCCTCAGGACGGTCAACGTTTCTGATTGAGCATGTAATGCAGAACCGGCCTCTGCCCGATCGCAGGCGTCTGCTCCTATCCGGGATAATATGACTGTCCACCAATCCAAAATCGCGATTTTGCCGTACACTTTCAGAGTTTCTGAGAGAGAGGCAGCGATCATGGCGAGATTTCGTTTCTGGAAAACAATGGTGAGTGCGGCGGTCCTGACAGTGTTTTCGCTGGGGCCGACGGTCGCAGAAGAAACGCTCGACAGCAACGCGTTTCAGCGCATTATCAAGAACCAGATGAACGCTTTTGCAGCCGGAAATGCCAAAACGGCATATTCCTTTGCGACAAATTCGCTGCAACAGAAGTTTCAGTCGCCGGAACTCTTCATGGAAATGGTTCGGCAAGGCTATCAACCGGTCTACAATCCAAAAAGTGTCACGTTCGGACAGTCCAAAATTACCAAATTCGGACCGACGCAAGAGGTCCATGTTGTCGGACCCAAAGGAAAGAACTGGCTCGTACTCTACAGTTTCGAACAGCAGGAAGACGGCAGTTGGCGGATCTCGGGCTGCTATCTGACCAAGTCGGACGGTCTTGCCGCCTAGGACATCCAGGTAACGTTACTCACAATGCGGCAATATCGCCTCGCGCCCAATCTTCCTTGGTGCGCGCGTAGAATTCGTCGAAACGACCTTCTTCTATTGCATCCCGCATGCCCTGCATGAGTTGCTGGTAGTACGCAATATTGTTCCAGGTAAGCAACATGCCCGCCAACCCCTCACCCGCCCGCACGAGGTGATGCAGATAGGCGCGGCTGTAGACGCTTGACGCAGGGCATTGGTTTTCCGCGTCGAGAGGACGCGCGTCGTCCTGGTGGCGGGCGTTTTTAAGGTTCACCTTGCCGAATCTCGTATATGCCAGCCCGTGCCGGCCTGCGCGTGTCGGCATAACACAGTCGAACTGGTCAATGCCGCGCTTTACGCTTTCCAGGAGATCGTCCGGCGTTCCCACGCCCATCAGGTATCTGGGCTTGTCGACAGGCATCACAGGAGTGGTTATGTCCAACATCTGGAGCATGACATCCTGCGGCTCTCCAACGGCCAGTCCCCCTACCGAAAAGCCTTCAAAGGGCAGCTTGCCGAGACTTTCTGCAGACCTGATGCGAAGATCAGGTTGGTCTCCGCCCTGGACGATGCCGTAGAGGCCCTGCCCTTTCGCGGGTCCGCCCATTGCCTCAAATTGTGTCCTGGAACGTTCGGCCCATCTCAGTGACAATTCCATCGCCCGTTGGATCTCCTCCTTGGGGCTTGGAAGCTTGATGCATTCATCCAGTTGCATCTGGATATCGGAACCGAGCAATCCCTGGATTTCCACGGAACGTTCCGGGGTCAGATGATACTTCCGGCCGTCAATATGGCTCTGGAAACGGACACCTTCTTCGTCGAGTTTGCGCAGCTGCGCCAAAGACATGACCTGAAAACCGCCGCTGTCGGTCAGGATCGTGTGCGGCCAGTTCATGAACGTGTGCAGTCCACCCAGCCTGTCGACACGTTCCGCAGTGGGTCTCAACATGAGGTGATAGGTGTTGCCCAGCACAACGTCGGCACCGGTTTCACGTACCTGTCCCGGATACATGGCCTTGACGGTTGCCTGAGTACCAACCGGCATGAACGCGGGTGTGCGCACGACACCATGTGGGGTCGTTATTTCCCCCCGTCTGGCCATGCCATCGGTTGCGATCAGTTTGAAATTGAATTTTTTTGCTGTGTCGGACATGGGATCTACTGTGTCACTTTTGCCGGGAACAAAAGGGAACCGTCCCCGTAGCTGTAAAAGCGGTATTGCTCCTCAATTGCATGTGCATAGGCGCCACGCATCGTTTCAAGTCCTGAAAACGCCGACACGAGCATGAAGAGCGTCGACTTTGGCAAATGGAAATTCGTCATCAGGGCATCAATTGCCCTGAACTCATAGCCTGGTGTGATGAAGATTGATGTTTCTCCGGCAAAGGGTGCGATCGAACCTCCTGCCTGGGCAGAGCTTTCCAGTATTCTCAAGGACGTGGTGCCAACGCTGACAACCTTGTTTCCTCTCGCCCTTACAGCGAGAAGAGCCTTTGCGGTGGCGGCTGAAACGTTCCCCCATTCCGCGTGCATCTTGTGGTCACGTGTATCATCAGCTTTCACCGGCAGAAATGTTCCTGCGCCAACATGCAGGGTTACAAGATGTCGCTCAATCCCCCGGTCTTCGAGAGCTTCAAGAAGTTCCTGTGTGAAATGAAGGCCGGCAGTCGGCGCCGCGACCGCACCATCCTTTTCAGCAAAGATCGTTTGATAGTCCTGGCGGTCCTGAACATCCTCGTCTCGCTTTTGCGCGATATAGGGCGGCAAGGGAACGTGACCGACTGTTGCAATGGCGACATCCAGCTCCGAACCTGACGCCTCGAAGACAAGCAGCACCTCGCCGCCATCCGATTTTTCTGCAACCCGCGCCCTCAAACTGCATACTGAATTTTCGAAGACGAGAACGTCGCCGGCAATCAGTTTCTTTGCCGGACGGGCAAAGGCTCTCCACTGATCTTGATCTGTGCGCATATGCAAAGTGACACTGATCCCTGCGGAAACGCCACCACGAAACCGCTGTCCTTCCAGTTGGGCCGGAATGACCTTTGTATCGTTGAATACCAACGCATCGCCAGGCTCCAACAGTCCCGGCAAATCCCGTATGCCCATGTCCTTCAAGACCGAATATTCCGCCGGATTTACAACAAGCATTCGCGCGGAATCTCGCGGACGTGCGGGACGCAGGGCAATCCGTTCATTCGGCAGGTCAAAATCGAATTCTTCGACGCGCATGTCGTTCAGGTCTGTCCAATGGCAATGGGTGGGTCGATGTGTGTGATCGACGTCAACTGACGGAGCCGGATGCTCAGTGTGCGGCTCTTAAAGGTGCAACGTTTGGAGGTCAACACTTGCCGTTCCAGCGCTACAAGCAAAAACAGCGCGGAAAACTTCCGCGCTGTCCGAATTTTTTGCAATTTAGCGGTCAGGACGCGTCTGCAGCAACCTTGAGCGAAACAATGTTGTCGGGATCCGTTACGGGTTCGCCGCGCTTGATCTTGTCGACATTGTCCATGCCGTCAATCACTTCGCCCCAGGCGGTGTACTGACCGTCAAGCCAGGGTGCGTCGGTGAAGCAGATGAAGAACTGGCTGTCGCCGGAGTTCGGATCCATGGCGCGGGCCATGGAACATGTTCCGCGAACGTGTTTGTGGTTGCTGAATTCAGCTTTCAGCTTCTGGCCGGAACCGCCGGTACCGGTTCCCTGCGGACAACCGGTCTGCGCCATGAAACCGTCGATAACCCTGTGAAACACGATACCGTCATAAAAGCCTTCCCGTACAAGCTCCTTGATGCGTGCAACATGACCCGGGGCGAGATCCGGTTTCATTTCGATTACGATCGGTCCCTGGCTTGTTTCCATGAGAAGGGTGTTTTCGGCATCCTTGATATCAGCCATGTCTGACTCCTTGGGTCTTTAGAACTGGGGCTATTTTTGGTTTATTGAGCGTCTGCTGCGATCTGCATCTTGACGATCTTGTCAGGGTTCGCAGGCGGCTCGCCAAGAGCGATATTGTCGATATATTGCATACCGTCAACAACTTCGCCGAAAACCGTGTATTGACCGTTCAGCCAGTCGCCGTCGGCAAACATGATAAAGAACTGCGAGTTGGCACTGTTCGGGTCGGCAGCACGGGCCATGCCAAGCGTTCCGCGGCGGAAGGGTGTGTCCGTGAATTCGGCTGCAATATTCGGTTCGCTGGAGCCTCCGGTCCCGTTGCCTTTCGGGTCACCGGTCTGTGCCATGAAGTTGTCTATCACCCTGTGAAAAGTGAGCCCGTCATAAAAACCTTCCCTGGTCAGTTTCTTGATCCGTTCAACATGATTCGGGGCAAGGTCCGGACGGAGCTGGATGACGACACGGCCGTCTTTCAAATCAAGGAGAAGCGTATTGTCCGGGTCCGTACCCTGTGCACTGGAAATGGCGGGAACGAGAACGATCGACGCGAGAATGGCAATCATTGCGATTAGTCGTGACACTGGAGACTCCTTAACCAAGGTCAGTGGAATTGATTGTCAACTGTCCGGTCTTGCGCGGCGCCTCAAAGGTGACGCGACCGGTTCGGGTACAAATGCGGAAATCTCTCCGCCCATCTTTGCGATTTGCCGCACCAAGGTGGCGGTGATGTGGCGGACATCTGGAGACGCTGGCAGGAAAACGGTCCGGATGTCAGGCTCCAGCGTACCGTTCATTCCGGCCATCTGCATTTCATAGTCAAGATCAGTGCCATCTCTCAAACCGCGGACCAGATACGCCGCCCCCTGCTCGCGCGCGGTGTCGACAACCAGGTTCGAAAAGGAGATCACATCGATACGGTCGGCTTCCGCAGCAGCAAATTCAGCACGGGCTGCTTCATGAATCAGGTTGAGCCGTTCCTCGAACGAAAACAAAGGTGTTTTTCCCGGATGGACACCTATGGCGACCACGACCTTGTCTGCCAGCGCAAGTGCCTGATGCAATATGTCCATATGGCCGTTGGTGACCGGGTCGAAGGACCCGGGATATAGCGCAATGCGTTTCATGGCCAATTCCATACTCCGCCTTCCGACGGGTCACAAGGGAAACACTGAGACAACCGCGATTTTTGTCCACACGAGACATTGTGTGACTGGCATCACATAAGTCTTCCCATAGTTGGTCCAAGGTGTGTTCATCGAAAACACGGCGTGAGCAGGAGCCAGGACCATGAGGAGTTACGTTACATCGGGCCCGACTTTCAATGAGAAGTCGGCACAACCATTCAGCATTCAGGCAAACGCCGCGGATTCCGCGATGCACGTCAAGATGGCCGCCATCTTCGTACTGGCATTGCTGACAATGATTGCTGCGGGCGTGATGAGCATGCACCCAAGCAATGCATCTCAGGCTGAGGACCTGACCAGCCTTGCGACGCAGGGCCTTACAGCAACCAAGACGGATCGTATTGCCGTATCGAAGTCATCCGACACATGCAATTCTCAGGCGTGGGGCGCATGGAGTGAAGAGTGTGCTGCTTCCCTGACGGGAGCCAACAAGGTACGCAACGTTTCATTCGTTACGATCGAGCAAAAGGCTCCGACCGCCAACGAAACCATTCTTGCACGCTACCCCACCGTCAACTGATACGCCTACCTCCAAGTTATTCCCCGTAACGGCAAACAGCGGCACAGGTTCCACCCTGGCCGCTGTTGTCGTATGTGCTGATGCTTTCCTCGCGTGTCATCAGAGCGAGTTGTTTCCAGCGTATTGGGTGTTCGGAGCCGATCATGGTTCTCTCGCTGATCTTCTTCAAACGAACATTGATGTTGTTTTGGGTATTGTGGTGGCTGGTTGCGTTTTTGACGGATCTGGGAGGCGCAATGTTTCAGCTGGGGTGGTTCAGCGAGAACTGGCTTCCCCACTCAATCTATCCCTACCTTGTAAAAACTATTGCCTTGGATGATCCGCGACAGTTTCTTGCCCGGCTCCTGTTTGCAGGAATCATTTGCTGGTTGTTTCTCTCGACGGCGTTTTTTGTCCGCGCCGTGTTCACTTCTACCCTTCGAAGGGACGTGTGGATTGCGCGGGTCAACAGTGCTTTCATCAATTCGCTGGCATTGTGGCTGGCAATTTTCACGGCCGATCAGGTTGTCAAATAAATCGATCTTGAACAAAATCATATGGTGCAAGCCGGTTTCAAGTTACTTACCTTTCTGGCTATTCATACACTTCCAGACGCGTAACGTTTTTCGGCAAGACAGAAACAAAAAAGACGGCAACACGCCGCCTTTGATGTCGTTTGTCTATTTCAGTGTTTTGTCAGCTGTCACCGTCCGGGGCAGCCGCTGACGGATCGCCGTCAGAACCCTGATCGCTGTTGTCACCGTCGGTGACTTCGCCTTCCTCATCGAGATCTTCGTCGTCATCGACTTCCGAGATACCTTCCACAGCGACGACTTTTTCTTCCGTGGCCGTCTTGAAGACGATCACGCCCTGCGTCGCGCGGCCAGCAATGCGGATACCGTCCACCGGACAGCGGATGAGCTGACCACCGTCCGTTACCAGCATGATCTGGTGACTGTCTTCGACCGGGAACGACGCTATCAGGCCGCCATTGCGATCATTGACAGCCATGGCGGTAATGCCCTTGCCTCCACGCCCGGTCACGCGATATTCGAAGGACGAAGTCCTCTTGCCGTACCCATTTTCGGAGACAGTCAGGATAATCTGTTCAGCAGCACTCATTTGCGCATAGCGCTCCTGAGGCAGGTCGCCCGCAACGACGCCTTCTTCATCAGCACCGCTGCCGCTCTCGTCTGCTTCCCCGCGCATGGCTCTCGACAGCTTCAGATAGGCAGCCCGCTCTTCAGCGTCGACGTCAATGTGATGAAGGATCTGCATCGAGATGACCCGATCCTCATCTGCCAACCGGATTCCACGGACACCAACTGAGTTCCGGCCCGCAAAAACGCGAACATCGGTGGTCGCAAAGCGAATGCACTGACCGGAATTGGTGGTCAGCATGACGTCGTTGTGTTCTGAGCAGGTGTCAACACCGACAATACCGTCGCCGTCTTCCAGCTTCATCGCAATCTTGCCGTTTCGGTTGATATTGACGAAGTCGGAGAGTTTGTTCCGTCGCACTGTCCCGCGCACGGTTGCGAACATCACATCGAGATTTGCCCAGCTGTCTTCGTCCTCAGGCAACGGCAGAATAGACGTTATCTGTTCGCCCTGCTCCAGCGGCAGCATGTTCACTAGCGCCTTGCCTCGAGAGGTCGGCCCTCCCAGAGGCAGACGCCAGACCTTCATCTTGTAACAGATGCCACGTGAGGAGAAGAACAGCACTGGCGTGTGCGTATTGGCGACGAATAGACGTGTGACGAAATCCTCATCCTTGGTCGCCATTCCAGCGCGACCCTTGCCGCCACGGCGTTGTGCCCGGTAGGTGGCGAGAGGTACGCGCTTGATGTAACCGCTGTGTGACACGGTAACGACCATGTCTTCGCGCTGGATCAGGTCCTCGTCGTCAAAGTCGGCGCCGCCCTCGACAATCTCCGTCCTGCGCGGCGTTGCGAACTCTTCCTTGATCTCCAGCATTTCATTGCGGACTATTTCCTGGATTCGTGCCCTGGAGCGCAAGATATCCAGGAAGTCGGAGATTTCGCCACCGATCTTCTTGAGTTCGTCATCGATTTCGTCGCGGCCGAGAGCTGTCAGGCGCTGCAGGCGCAGATCCAGTATCGCCCGTGCCTGCTCTTCTGAGAGCTTGTAGGTGCCATCTTCGCGAACCTGATGACGCGGGTCATCGATCAGTCGGATCAGAGGTTCGACATCCCTTGCCGGCCAGTCGCGTTCCATCAACTGGGCTCTTGCCGTCGCCGGATCCGGAGCAGTTCTGATCAGGTGAATGACTTCATCGATGTTGGCAACTGCAATGCCCAGACCAACCAGGATATGGGCACGGTCACGGGCCTTTTTCAGCAGATAGCGCGTCCGCCTCTGGACAACTTCTTCGCGGAAGGCGACGAAGGCCGTGAGCATGTCGGACAGGTTCATCTGTTCCGGTTTGCCACCGTTCAGGGCGACCATGTTTGCGCCGAAGGAAGTCTGAAGCTGACTGAAGCGATAGAGCTGGTTCAGAACGACATCCGGCACCGCATCGCGTTTGAGCTCGATAACGACCCGCATTCCGGATCGGTCGCTTTCATCGCGGATGTCCGAAATTCCCTCGACACGTTTGTCGCGGACAAGTTCGGCGATCTTTTCGATCATGGTCGACTTGTTGACCTGGTACGGTATCTCAGAAACGATCAGCGCATTCCGGTCCTTGCGCACTTCCTCGATATCGACTTTTGCCCGCATGACGATAGAGCCACGGCCGGTTTCATAGGCATTGCGTATACCTGCACGTCCCAGGATCATGCCGCCGGTGGGGAAATCGGGTCCGGGCACAATTTCCATGAGCTCCATCAGCATCATGGCCGGATTTTCCATGATGGCGATCGCCGCGTCGATAACCTCCCCCAGATTGTGGGGCGGTATGTTGGTTGCCATGCCGACGGCAATGCCACCGGCGCCATTTACGAGCAGATTGGGAAACTTGGCCGGAATAACGACCGGTTCGCTTTCCGAGTTGTCATAGTTCTCCTGAAAGTCGACTGTTTCCTTGTCGATATCATCCAGGAGCTTGTGAGCGACCTTTTCCAGCCGACACTCGGTGTAACGCATCGCCGCCGCCGGATCACCGTCGACGGAACCGAAGTTTCCCTGGCCGTCGATCAGTGGCAGTCGCAGCGAAAAGTTTTGCGCCATGCGAACCAGCGCATCGTAGATCGCGCTGTCACCATGTGGGTGGTATTTACCCATGACATCGCCGACGACACGAGCTGACTTGCGATAAGGCTTGTTCCACTCATAGCCGTTTTCGTGCATCGAATAGAGGATGCGCCGGTGAACCGGTTTCAGGCCATCTCGGACGTCGGGCAATGCACGCGACACGATCACGCTCATGGCGTAATCGAGATAACTGCGTTTCATTTCGTCGACGATAGAGACCGGTTTGATATCGGACGGCAAACCGTCCGAAGGGGTGCTGTTGTCCTGGTCGGCCAAGGAAGAACTCATTTCATTGTTATTGCTGGTTCTTTTATATCCGATTCAACTGCATGGGCCAAATTTGAGGCAGTTTTCCTCTCCAGTAATAATCCTTGTAATTCAATATGTTATAAAGAGTATTCACAGGGTGCGAAAATGAATTTCGGAAAGCGGCTCGAAGTCGGCGTCAATCCCCTGTAACAAGGCCGAATCCGAGCCACCATCAATGCCGTGGAAGCCCAGAATGCTCGACTATTTCATCAACGCGTTTGCCACACTTTTCGTTACGATCGACCCGGTCGGTCTTGCGCCGATGTTTCTGGCTGTCACAGCCGGAATGAGCAGAGCGGACCGAAGGAAGGTCGCGGTTCGGGCGACGCTGACTGCAGCTGGAATTCTTCTGATCTTCTATGCTTCTGGCCAGACAGTTCTGAATGTGCTCGGCATTTCGGTATCGGCGTTTCGCGTTGCAGGTGGCATTCTGCTCTTTCTGATCGCGATCGAGATGATTTTTGGAAAGAGACAGGAGCGCAAGGCGGAAACGGCAGAAAAAGCCGTGGAGTCCCAGGGACATCACGGTACAGTCAATGAAATTGCCATCTTTCCGCTTGCTATACCGCTGATTTCGGGCCCGGCAACCATTTCCGCAATCATCCTGTTGTCGAGCCAGGCTCCCGACACGGTCGCCTATGCGGGCCTTGGCGGCGTGATCGCGATTATCCTTTTGAGCTGCATGGGTGCCTTTCTGCTGGCCGACAGACTGGAAAGACTGCTTGGCGAAACCGCGCAACTCGTCATCACGCGCCTGTTGGGGGTTCTCCTCGCTGCGCTTTCGGTTCAGTTCGTGGCAGATGGCGTGTTGACACTCGTGCGCGGTTAGCGCGGCAAGGTTATCCGCAATTCCTGGCCTGATACACCGTGAACGCTGTCCCGGGCACGGATAATCACTTCATTCAGATCGTCGGGT